TGTAAAATTACAAAGATTTAAAGGGTTATATTAGTAAAAGTGATATTAAAATACCTAAATTAGCTAAATAATATTTATGGAATACCCGAACCTAGATTATTTTATTAATATATCCATATTATTTATCCAAACCTAATTACGAAGCATGATTCTTCGCCAAATAGGATTCCGAAGCACCAGAAGCAGCCATGTAGGCTCAGCGCATTCGGCAATTATATATAGGGAGGATGATATAGTTTTAAGCATCTATTCCTTATTCAAATTGGATTATTGAATACCTATTTAATACCCTAATTGTTTATGTTTTGAATAGTAAAAAATCTAAAATTTTTGAATTATGGTTAAGTTTAAGAAAAAGCGGTATGATTAGTTCTTAGTGGATATATTAAAATAATATTTAAAATAAAATAATTAAAGTTGATTTGATGTAAAAGTAAGAGAAAATGATTAGAAGTGATAGTTAGTTAAAATTAGTTAAAATTATGTGAGTAGATGAACAGTGAATTAAAGTTGATGTGATATGTAATAATGATGTGTTGATGTTATTTAATTATATAATAATATTTGAGATAGTGTGGTTAAATTAAAGTTGAGTTAAATTTAAATTTGAGTAAAAAAATTACTGTACAAAGGGTAAACAATCACTCCCTTATGCGCTTAAATAAAGTTTTATTATAGTATATGTGTTGTAATATTTAAAATAATAAATTATATGATTAACATGTTATATTTATAAATATTGTTATTAATAAAAAATAACTATATAAATATCACTACAATTAGAATATAGTTGAATTGAATTATTTTCTCTAATTTTTTTTATTTTGATCTAAGTCTAAAATTAGATGTGATTAATCTCAATTAGCTAAGTCAAGTATTGAAGCTTACTCGTCTATCTAAGGTCAAATGCTTCCGTTCGAAGAAAACTATGAAGTAAAAACCAATCCTAATCCCTTTCCACATTCTTTATGTGGACTTTCATTTATATGATGGAATTTTAATTTATAGAGTCATTCACGTTTATTCAAAATGACAAATGCCCTATATTAAATATATTTAGATAGGTGTCGATACATTAAAGTAATGGATAATTCTATAAAAAAATTATTCAATAATTCTATAGAATTTCTGTATAAGCTTGATTGGCATGGCGAGCTTATATCATTAGTTTTTTCAGTAGCTTTTCAAATTAGTCTCTTAAAATTTTTATTTTAACTATCTTATTAGTTAATTTTATCAAATAAATCTATTATATCAACTATTTTTCAGACACAAGCCATAATTATCAAATATAAGTTGATAATTAACTTATAACTTATCAGCTAACTTTATAAGATATATAAATTTTACAAAACATAATCAAAATGATGATATTTTATAATAAAACTACATGTATTTGTGAAAATTATTTGTGTAAAAACATGCCATATAATATGAGATTATTATGAATGTGGACATATTTGCTTGTTTGTTTCATGACCATCATCGTTTGAAGAGCATATCAATCGAAGTGAAGAAAAAGCTCAACAATAATGCATCATCGCCTACGTCATCTTCAATCGTCTCTCAAAATCACCGGCCAGGTTCGAAATCCACTCCAGTTTCTTTGTTCTTCGTTCGCACGCACGTTCGTGCCCGTGTATCCTAAATTTATGCGAACCCATTTGTTATTTTCATTTGTTGATACTAGTTATGCATCAGTAACTGTGTAAAGGGCTGCAAAGAATGCTTAATGCTTTGAAGATTATTTACAAGATTTGATTTTTTTAAGAAGGGGGGCTTAGGTTTTCGAATGGTATAAGGTATCTGGAGAACAACGAGGTGTATTGGGGGTTTTCTGTTTGTATTTAGCTATGTTAATGTCTTGGCCTCATGTGAAGGGAGTAATGGAGGAACTAACTAAAGCTCTGATTTTTGACTTGAAAAGCTTTGGTCTTCTATGGAAGTGCATAGTTCCAGACTTCCAGTATCTCGTTGTTGAAATGAAAACTTGTTTGGTCAATGTGTTTTCTTTTGAACTGGGTTTATTTTCAAAATCCCATTACTGTAGAAAGATAGGTAAGTTTGATTCTCAAATTGGCTAAAAACGGTTATGGAAATGAAATTCCATACACAGGCTTAATTTTTTACCGCAACTGATTCACAACTGTTTGAGTTATCCTTGGTAGAGTAGCTCACTGTGTTGACTAAGAATGTGAACACAGGTGTTTGATAGTCTCTATGTAAATGAGTTGGCCAATTTTTGAGTGCTGTTTTCTGTTCGTCTTACATATTTGAGTTCCCTTTTGAGCTGTTTTCTGCTTAGTTCTTCAATCTTTTTGACTCTTTGGTTGTTGATGAATATTACGACAAAGTTCAATCTTTTGAACTTGAATATTCGGTTACTTATGGACTTCAAAGAAAATGCCAATCCCTTTCGGATATGAAACGGCTTTTCTGCATAAAAGATGCCAACTTTATGTTTTAAACGAAAAGGGAAGTTATTATGAATGTTCCTTTTTGAATCTTAACATGACTTAGAGGCAATGATGTAGATGTTTCTCGTTCAACTATTTTTCTTACTGTTGAAGAAGTATTCAGTTTGAAAAATTTGACGAAAGAATGAAGGTGTCCTGTGGTAGAGCATACTTGAAAACACCTTTTATTGAGTAATATTTCAAGATTCTTCCATTTTTTCTGGTTCCATGTTAGTGTCTCATGTTCATCGTTCAATTCTACAGGCCGTTTACCATTCAACAGATATTTCAGCAGGAAATGGTTTGAGGAAAGCTTTAGCTTGGGTTCCCAATCTTGCAAAAGCATATAACACACAGGCATCTTTGCAAAAGGATGTCTCGTCAAACGATAATAACTGGTACATTCTTTTGGTTTTCCCCTACACTTGATTTTCTCTCGGCTTATATATGTTTGGCATAATACATACACCAAATGGATTTTGTCCTTTTCACTTTAACGAGTTTATTCCTAATGTTGAAAAGATAAACATATCATCTGAGTTTTCGTTGACGACTAACCTTTGTAGCTTCAAGGGACATGATATGTTGGCCCCGTTTACAGCTGGATGGCAAACTACAGATTTGAATCCTCTTGTAATTGAGAAGTCCGAGGTATATATGGAACTTGGTATCTACATTTCAAAATCTCTTTCTAATTGTTCCACCTTAATTAGCAAGTATTCACATTGGTTTTCTGTTATAGGGCTCCTACGTTTATGATGCCAATGGGAAAAAGTATCTCGACGCGCTTGCTGGTTTATGGTGCACTTCTCTAGGTATTCTTAGTCTCATTAACTTATATCTATCTATTTTTTAATCATCTTCCTTGTGAGATTTCTTTATTTTCTGCCTTTGCATTCTTAATAAACAGGGAATAATCCTGATTTTATCGTACTCTCGGGTTCTTGACAGGTGGTAATGAGCCCCGGCTTGTTGAGGCCGCAACAAAACAGCTAAATACATTGCCGTTTTACCACTCCTTTTGGAACCGTACCACGAAACCCTCTTTGGTAATATGATGGTTTGTAAGTCAATTACGAGGAAGCTGTGAAAACTCGCCTTCAGTATGTCATCATTCTGATTTTCCTTTTGAGTGTAGGATCTTGCTAAGGAACTTACTGATATGTTCACTGCAAATGACATTGCTAGAGTTTTCTTCACGAATAGCGGATCAGAAGCCAATGATACACAGGTCTTGATCGTCTTTTGGAAACAGTAAAATGGCCATGCAATTCACTGATTCTTTTTTTTTTTTTTTTTTTTTCTTTTTCTGTTCTTGATATAAGCAGTGAAGTAAAAGTAGGTACTCTTTTTCTCACTTTACAAACTGTTTGAATGAATTTATAAGATACAAACTCGGTTCATTTCCGTGCAGGTGAAGTTGGTTTGGTATTACAATAATGCCCGTGGGAAGCCAGACAAGAAGAAGTTCATTGCTCGTGCAAAATCGTGACAGTTTCTTTTTCATCTGTTTTTGTGGACAATCTCTCCTTTCCTTCTTTCATTTTTTTTTTTTTTCTCATGGCAGATACCACGGATCAACACTTATATCAGCCAGTCTTTCTGGGTAAGTATGCTTACATTTCATCAATTCTTGAATCATAAACCGATAAATATTATTTAAACCATAACTCTTTTTTTTTTTTCTTTTCAACAGACTGCCTGCTCTGCACCAGAAATTCGATCTGCCGGCTCCATTTGTACTGCACACCGATTGTCCTCATTATTGGCGTTTTCATCTCCCGGGTTTATATACTTTGTTCCTACTTAGTCTAGTATTCCTAATTCGTTTCGCAATGACGATATCAATTCATTTTATTTGTATATATATTTTTTAAATATAACTTTCCAGGTGAAACCGAGGAAGAGTTCTCTACAAGGTTGGCCAATAACTTGGAAAATCTCATCCTTAAAGAGGGCCCCGAGACGGTATAATTGGAATTAGATATAGATTCATATTGTTCGATTTTCTGTATTCAATTGCTTCTCCTAACAGTCTGTTCATTTCAATTCAGATTGCTGCATTTATTGCCGAACCAGTTATGGGGGCAGGCGGCGTAATACCTCCACCATCAACTTATTTCAAAAAAGTGAGTTGACTCGTAACACCTTCTTTTCTTCAAATATATTACCATTCTATCTGCAAATTTTAAGTCGTACGATTTGATTAGGTTCAAGCCGTTGTTAAAAAGTACGATATCCTCTTCATTGCTGATGAGGTAATATGTGCGTTTGGAAGGCTCGGGACAATGTTTGGCTGTGACAAATATGGTATCAAACCTGATCTTGTGACCATAGCTAAGGTAAACAAAATTTGTTCACAAAAACTATAGTACTATTCTATAAACCACGGACTAATTTTCCATGGTACAAATAAAAATGCACAAGGCGCTATCTTCTGGATACCTCCCTATTGGAGCTGTTCTCGTCAGCCATGAAGTCTATGATGTCGTGCATGATCAGAGCAACAAACTCGGTTGGTAGAGATTTTTTTTCTTTTCTTTTTTGAATCATAAAGTTCTTTTGGAAAAGTTCGGTTTATGATTGATTGATTTCTGCTTGTATTTTGTCCTTAAAAGGTGTATTCTCCCACGGGTTTACTTATTCCGGACATCCTGTCTCGTGCGCTGTTGCATTAGAGGCACTTAGGATTTACAAGTATGTTGTTTTATTTATTTATTCCATTTTTGTAGATTGATTTTGTTATATAGCGTCAGAAATCACGAAATTTTACAATCTGCAGGGAGAGAAATATTCTTGATCAAGTAAATAAAATAGCCCAAAAGTTTCAAGAGGGTCTCAAGGCATTTTCAAACAGTCCCATTATAGGAGAGGTACGATACAATTAAACGCTCTTGGTCTTATTATTATTTTTAACTTAAAACACATGCAAATTGTTATATTTTTTCAGTTCGTCATTTGAGTTGCCGTCTTTTGTGCTGAAGATTCGTGGAACAGGTTTGATTCACGGGACAGAATTTACCGATAACAAGTCACCAACCGACACTTTCCCTTCTGAATGGGGTACGC